GTCCAGCTAGGACCACCCTACCCTTTAGGGCTTTGGCTTGCAGGGTTAACAGGAGCTGAGTGGGATGACTCCCTGCCCCCAGTGACTGGTCTGCCCATCCAGGTCCAAACAATAAGCTAGGCTGGCTGTGTTGTCATCAGCAATGCCCTGGAATACTGCGGACCTGGCTGGCTCAGGAACTGGACTACTGAGACTGCGGAGGGCTGGCTCGATTCCGACATCCCATTGCCAGGCATGTTATCACCTTATCACCAAGGGTCTTTCATTTTCCTTTCATTTTCCTAGAATTGTGCACTTCCTTGGCAGGGTGAAATGCCTGCGTAAACATACAAACACAGCAGCGGGTTGTGTTCTTTTTTAATTAAGGTGATTTAGATTTAAATTTTTTTTGGTCAGCCAGATATCTGGCAAACACGGAAACCCATCACCATGCTTAATATGCAACCCAAACTAGAGTTCCACATACACTTGAAAATTTCCATTTGTCTGGAATGAAATGTGCACTTTCTCTCCCCAGAGAGATGTAACCCACCCACCTAATTCCAGGAAGCATTAGGCACAAGTTGGCAAGAGTCAAGGCTTGGGGATCCCATAGTGTGCAATGGGATACTGCTAGACTTTAACCACCTACTTTCCCCTCACCACCATCCCAAGCTCAGGCTCCCAGACAGCTATATGAAGACATCCTTCCCACATGTAAATGCAATTTTTTTGGATGTAAAATGACATAGCTTTCCATTATGAACAGCGAGCTTCCCTTTCCTTGTTCACTTTGGACCCGTTAAGACTTGCAGAATTTCACCAGAGCTGTGAATGAAGAAGGCATTCCAGTCAGTTGATCACATCCTTTCGCAGTACCCTCTATTCCCTTAAATGAGACCTGGCCTTAACCACTCCTTTTAGGTAACTTATTCTGGCCTATAATTGATTAAAATTAATATTGATTTGCATTTGTGCCTTGTCAAATACCTTAAAAAAATCAATTGTGTAAACCTTTTATGCTACAGCGCTTACATGGTTAATTCAATAACCATGAACTTTTGACCAAATTAGCTTCCGCAGTCCGTTTTTCTGTGTGAGTAAGTTGAAAAACAATGTTCCAAAGCCAGAGTTGCTCACCTCCCACATTTTAGACTCAGTCTTCAACTCCCATGATGCATATAAAGAAAAATGAATTGGATATCCATTTACATCCCTGCACTGGTGTTCTCAAGTGAATACAGTCGTTTTGATTTGAGTTAAAAGCTTTGGACACAGCTTGAGTTTTCTCTCCAAGCCAAACTTAAGTTACAACTGTGTCACTAATCATAAAAGTCACAACATTTTCAACTAGAATGTCCATCTGGACTTTCGTAACTCATTCCTTTGGTCAAAATGCATTCAACCAGGCTATGATCTTTGGTGCAATCTGTGAGGCATTGACTGGTTGGTATCTTTCCTGCAATTTCAAAAACTGCAAGAATTGTGAACAGTAGGTTGAAGATTATAATTAAAGATAAACAATTTGCACCATCGATTCCTGGAAGCTCCTCCACTCCATCAAGCTAATAATGAATGGTTGAGATAAGAAAACATGATGGGGAGCTATACTTTCCTGACATTGTTTATGACTGCTCTGATTCTTGTGCACTCTTGTATAATCTCTCACAGTCTTCCCATTTCATTCTCTTATCTGATAATCTGACAGTTCCACTAATGAAGTCCAATGAAGTGGGGTTAGATAGAGGCATTAGGTCTTGCCTGGGCCGTTTTACTGAATTTTGATGTCTGTACCCTGCAGTAGATTTCATTGATGTCGTAGCTGCTTCCTAAAAAGAATTAAGATTGAAGAGCTACTTTAAGACCAAAATGTTATCCAGCCTTGAGGACAAACTGTTAGCCAAAGAGGCATTGAATTGTAAATTCTGTGTCCATCACTGAGATTTTAATTGGAGAACTTGGACTGTTCTAGTAATTTTAGCTCTCAAGAAAATGAATTCTATCAGATTAACCTGACACATTAATGCATTTTAGATGAGAAATGTAAATTCAGGAGAGGTAAAATGGATGCTAAAATAAACTAAGCTGGTCTCGTACATGTCCATATTGTTTGCTTATTAAATCGATAAGAGCAATGAATAAGAGACCTGCGGGTTGAAATTCTAGAAGCCAAATGTTGAAAGCATTGATGTCTTTTTATTAATCTTCAGTTCATTTGCACTCTCGTGAGAGCCATGCGTCTTCCCTGCAAAACTCCAGCAAATGCGAAGCAGTGTAGACAATCACACAGTGTGTGGGGCCCTCTGACGAGCAAGTTAGTGAGATTTACGAACTCCCATCATCTAGCAATGATACAATAGGGAGGAGCTTTCTAAGACTGGAGATAGAGACATTCAACCCAACCAGTAACTGGTGAATTAATGGAGTCTGGACACCATACTAGTTGGCTATGTCCTTTACCCTGCATATTGGGTCACAAGGACATACCAACTTATCAATCTGTCACACAGTCGCCCCGAACAATGCATGATAGTTTGCCTAGGCTGACTCCATGTTCTTCTGAGCCCCCAAAAAACTTTTAGCAATCACCCCAGAGGCTTCAGGGGTACTTGCGTGATTGTTAAATATTAATGTATTGGTCAAGGAAAGCTTGGATTTCAGCCCTCCCAGGTATATTGCCCCCGGGAAAGCAATATTAAACTAAAAGCTAAATCACAGTGCTCAAAAGAAAATTACAATGCTCAAAAGAAAATGAATCCCCTCAGGGTCAGAAAAAGATAGCACTAGGACACTGAGAGGATCCACTGAACTGGAGATGACACCAAATGTTGTTTCTTTTTCCTTTTAATACGTTATGGAGCGCTTTAAGGAAAACTACAAATTGTATCTCATAAATTGGAAGAAATTCCTCCTGGATCTAGATTTACTCTATTTATGTAACATTTCAGAGCATCCAGTATTTGCAAGCACTTCATGCTGCCTTAATTTTGAAGCCAGTTTTCAGTAAGTTCTTTTAAGAACTCTGAAAACTAAGTTAAAACCGAATTTAGCAATTTGCCAAATTCACAATGCTCCAACATGCTACACAAATAGAGTAAATCTAGACGCGGGTGGAATTTCTCCAAAGATCGAGCTCAGAGTGCATAAACAAGCTATTTGGTTGATCAAATCTACTCTAGTTTGTTCTTCACATGAGTAACATCATCTAATCCCACTCTCTTGCTTGCTACCATTTAATATTCTTTTACAAGCATTTATCTAATTCCCTTTTTAAACTCCAATGGACTTTGCCTCAACAAAAGCTAATGGCAGAGAATTCCACATTCCAGCCATCCTGGATGCCAAGAAATATATTCTAGATTTCATGGAAATGACATAACGCTTGAGAAACGTTTGTACTGTAAAAATTTGATGTTTCATGGTGAGATCATCGGAACTGTTCTGTGCTCTGTACAGCAGGTTATTTGCCATTTAAAACAAGTATTGGTTAGAGCGCTCGCCTCTCAAGCGAGAGGATCCTGGTCTGATTCCCGGACACGGCCAAATCTTAGGCAGGTTTCTTTACTCCACGCACTTCTGTTTACCTGCAGTTAGTAGGAACCCAGTCATTAGTCGATTGGCGGATCGCTTTTCTGGGGGTAATAAACCCTTCTATATATTTTTTAAAAAATAAATAATTTGGTCACTCAATCAATGACTGTGCGCAATAGACTGCTGCGTTTTGCCCACAAAATATACAGTCAATTCACTTTACAATATATTCTGTGAAGCACTTGGTCTCAATGACACGATACGGTGCTATATAAAATGCAAGGATTATGATAAAATTTAGCTATACATTTGAATTACATACCTGATGTATGGTATTAGCTGAATGCATGATGAGTAATTGTGAGACCTTAGTTTATCACATCATCCACCCTACATACATGAATTGGAGCTTGAAAATGTATTGCTCTAACATTTAAATTTAGCATTTTTGCAGTTATTTTAATTGTGGCAATCTCTGCCACTCCAGTTAATCTCTGTTAGTGTAAATACATACATAAATACTGTATATAATAATAATAATAATAATCCTTGCATTTGATATAGCGCTTTTCACGTCTTCTAGACGTCTCAAAGCGCTTCACAGAATATGCTTTAAATATATATGTGTATTATATAACAGTGTAATATATGCAAAATGCTGGTTGTATACATAAAATATACATCATATATAATATACACAAGACATAGTGTTGAAGGAGCACTTACCAAATAATGGAGTTGTGATTCTGACTAAGTTGGCAGAGAATATACCTGGTAAATATTTTAAAGCTTATCAAATACAGAGCCTTTAATGGAGCAAAAAACTGATGGCTTTATGCTGAATAATAATTGTTATATTTGATATAGCACTTTTCATTTCAGGAGGACGTCTCAAAGCACTTCACATGATATACTTTAAAGTGTATTGACTGTGCATTTTGTCGGCAAATGCATTAGCCAATTTGTTCACAACATTGTCCCATAGACAGTCATGAAGCAAATGACCAAATTTATTTAAAGGATTGTTGGCCAGTCACCAGTAAAAATGCACTTCTTTTTCCGAGTAGGTCCATGAGATCCTTAACATACAATATAAAATTACATTTGTATAGCGTCTTTCTCGGGAGGAAGTCCCGAGGCACTGGACAGTCAGGGATTTGGACCTGAGCGGAGAGGGATTTGGATCCAAGCAGGGTGGGTTGGCAATATCCACCTAAATAGGCAGGTGGGATCTCCGTTTAATGTTTCATCCTAAGGATGGCACCTCTGCCATTGCAGCACATGTGTTAGCGTCATCATAGACTATTTGCGTTTTAATTCCCAATTTGGGGCTTGAACCCACAACCTTCAAACTAGGATGCGAAAATGTTACCAACTGAGCAAGGCTGACACCCTTGGGAAGGGAAGGTTCTTTATTGTAAGCAAGGACTTGTTTTTTGCAGCATGTCTTTCCATCACCTGTGAGCTTGTTTTTCTTGCACTTCTTTTAGATCTCCTTTGACCTGGCGGAGTATACTGCAGATGTTGATGGTGTTGGCACCCTGAGACTTCTGGACGCAGTTAAAACATGTGGCCTTGTAAATACTGTGAAATTCTACCAAGCATCCACCAGTGAACTATTTGGCAAAGTGCAGGAAATCCCGCAGACGGAGACGACCCCGTTCTATCCTCGATCACCATATGGCAAGTACAGTGATGTATTTATGTGCGTTGGGTTTGTGTTCTCGGGGCTCAACTCACCTGCATGGAAAATAAAGACAGAACAAAGTGATTGGACTATTTGAGAGACATACCTTTAATACTTGCCAAACAGAAGTTGTTTTCAGAGACAGCCCTGGGGATGGAAATTATAATGCCAGGTTGAAAACAAACATGCTGTTAATTTCAGATATTAAATCTACAGCACATCACATTATGCGATGTGGAAGATGAACGCTTGTGGAGATCATCAGAAAGTTGGAAAAATTCCATATCATTTATTTTCTAAATGGAGCACTTTGCAGCCTGCTCATGTCCAGGGGCCTGGCAGTGCAATTCTGTCACTCTTACTCTTGTGCAGATGAGAGCTTGTCAGAATATTAATAATAGATTAGTTCATCCTTTATCTAAGGGTGGTATCTGAGTCCATCAAGCATTTTTTCAAAAATAAAGGCTAATTTATTTTCGATTTCTTTTGAAAAGTTTCTTTTCTTCTGTACACGTACAAAGATTTTCAAAGAATTCATGGCACAGAAACAGGCTGGCATTTAAAGTCCACATGAGTCTTCACCTATTCTTTACTCCCTCCCATATCCTTCTATTCCCCTCTTCCTCATCACCTTGAATGCATCTACGCTTACTGATTCAACCAGTTTCAAGCAGTGAGTTCCACAATTTCACTACTATCAATGTACCTTCTAAATTCTCTTTTAGATCCACTCATCACTATCTTACACTTGTGCCCCCTGGTTACAGACTCCCCAACCAGTGTAAACTGCCTATTTATGCCAAAAGCCTAATTATTCTACTTATGTGATTTGTCTTAGAGCATGAAATCCTACTACTTTATATTCAGTTTCCTTTCTCCCGCCCCAGTTCTCTGTCCAGCAAAATCTCGCTGTCTGTGGCCCACCCCACTTGTACTAGAGAGGGTAGATGTGTCTGTGAGAACCATGAGGAGATGTCAAAAGAAACTAAATGCAAAAATGTTAATGCAGGGGCACCTCAATGCAAAATCTGTTATCAAATATACCCTATGCCACCTTGCATCAGTGACGAGGCATATTTCAAGAACCGAAATAGCGTTCTTAAAACTGTTTCTAGCAACTGAGCTCTAAAAGAAAAATAAACGGTGAAAGCGATGGTACTGTATTTCCTTGGAGTCGCTGCCCTCACTGTAACTGATTCAAGCTGGTCATCTGCTGGCAGGATAATTAAAATAAATAAAATATTACTAAGAGATTTTATTTTGTAAATGACTTGGTGTGTTCTGGCGATGAACATTGCTGACTTGCAGGGTCTTGTTTTTTTCCACAGGAGCAGCCAAGCTTTATGCCTACTGGATCGTGGTGAACTTCAGAGAGGCGTACAATCTTTTCGCTGTCAATGGCATTCTGTTTAATCATGAAAGCCCAAGAAGAGGTTAGACCAGCTAAAGTGTTTGGGATATTCTTACATATGTTTTATTTAATGCCCGTCAAGAGTTAGGGGCGGCTGCTTTAAATTTTTGATGAGTTGGGTGTTTCAACCGGGAACACAAAGGGCTACTTTAATTTACCATTTAAGTTGCAATACTTCAACATTTGATTCTTTGTTGATGCATACTCTTTTGTACTTGCGTCCTCAAGAGTTTCTGGGTTCTAGAGGAGAATCACTCAAGATTGTTATCATTGTGATTTTCTCCTCTCTAACCCAGAGCAATGGCAACAATTGTGGAGCTTCAACTGCTGCTTCAGGTTAGATCAGCTAACTCGGCAGAGACCAGAGATTGAACTGGGGATCTTCCAGTCTGTATGTCTCTCTTCCTCAGTGAATTAACTTGCTGAGCTGTCCAGAGTCTACAATGCTGTTTTTAATATCCTTAATATCCACCATAGTTGCAGTCACTGCTCTTAGCATCTTGTTAACTTGTGTCAGCCTGACAGGACTGTACACAAGTCAAACTTTCTAATCAACAATGAATTCTGTGAGACAAATGTTACCTGCAAATAGTGGTGTTCTCTTGAGATGTGAAAAAAAATCCACAGATTTTTGTCTCAGTGAAATGTCCTAGCAAAAGTTTACCAATAGTTTAATAATGCGACAAAGATTGAGCTTTCTGGAATTCTCAAGCTGCTATTCAGTGTCTCTGTTGAAAGTTCAGCAGTGCCAATAGAGAATAAATTATAAAAAGAAAGCAGCAATCAAAAGTGACCTTGTACGAAATGGATTACCATGGGAGTGATAAACACAGAATGCAAGAGTTCAGGACTGGTTGACTTAAAAGAACGATAAATCTGGTGGCTAAATTTACCCCAGTTATAAAAAGAAAAAGTTTATGAGGTGATCCATTGGTAGCATTTTAGTCATACTAAAAGTCATACTAGCCTTGCTCATGACATTTTCAGTTTGAAGTTAATTATCCAAACCTTTTAATTGAAATGAGAAAGAATGTAAATTCTGAAACCCTGTAGTGGTGCTGGTGGTGAGTGTGTGCAGTTAATACAGTAGTTCACAGTATTTGCTAGGAGGAAGGTTCACAGATTGTGGTCCTGTGTGAAAAGTATGAATAATTGTATTTATAAATAATGCAGGAAATATTGATGATTCCCTATCATTTGTACTAAAAAATTGAGGTAATGGACAGTAAACATTCTACTTGGGAGTAGTTTGCTTGTGTGTAGCTTCTCAAGGTATCTGTGGTCAAAAAAAAGTTAAAAGGTTCAAATAGATTGTTAATGGGAACACTCTTCATGTATGGAAAGGTACTAGATATTTTATTGTGGAATTACTATAAACAAATGCGTCAACAGAACTTATTGTCCCCATCCTTACACCTCACACAGTGTCACTGTTCCCACCTAATGTATTGTGTTACCTTGTTAACATAATAACCAGAAATAAAATGAACAAAATGCTTCTTAACTAGATCTAAAGACCTTTGTTTGATCAAACTAAATTCCTGATAACCAGTTTATTTTGCAAATAATAAGTGTGGATTTACTTTACTGTTATGAAGCCAAGACCCAGAAGTCAGTAGGTCATCATTTACTTTACTTTTTTAAAAAAAGTTACAGTGAGAAGAAAATTACTTGAGAATAATAATACCATTGTACTGAATATGAAAACAGTTCAGATTACATCATACTGCACAATTATCATTGGCCATTTATAGCACTTTAATTGAATTATATGATCCTTGTATATCCCTGATACAATTTGTTCTTTTAAGTCAACCAGCTTATCATTAAGCATAAATCTGACACCAAAGAGCTTTTCAATTTAAAGTTGTAGAATCTGTAAGAATCATTTCAGTGGAAACTGGCGCCCATACAATGAGATTCTGGACATGCTGCTGTAGTTCCTTTAGAACTGTCACAGATTTTACAGAGCTAAAAAACATATCATTTCTCATTGACATTATCAATGGATATCGTACCCCAGGGTTGGAGACGATTAAACAAAACTGCCCCTACAAAGAACAATATATTTTATGGGAAATTTGTGGCCTTAATGGGTTGCAAGGCCTTCTCTTTGTTCATGCTTTGTTTTATCTTCCTAGCACAGGGTACAATGTGGGAACAGAGAGCCACATAAAGGTCTCCAGTCAATATTTTGTTGAAGATATTGGTATCACGTTTCCTGGATGAATTAAGACATTCTTAGATTTTTAATGTAACCTTTCTGTAAGTTATGTCAACAATGCCTGCTGGGCGCTCGAGGGATCGGCTTTCACCACTCTTTGATAAGTACTTGTGGCATTGTTTGAGCGAATCATGAACTATGCTGTTGAGATGTTGCATGAGAGATTAGAAGAATTTGTTTCCCCATAGAGTTGTGGATGTGTGGAACAGATTCCCAACAAAAGCAGCTGATACTGTATTGATTAACTCTTAGTTGCAGCCTTTTTCGGAGTGTTGTTTCTCTTCAATAATTTCCCCCAGTTGGTCCTGTAAACGGACTCTTTCATGCCTTACGATCCACATTGCTGTTGGTCATGATGACTCAAGTGAACAATAAGCTTTTGCTTCCAGTTTTGCTGGAAGAGCATGTACTTGCCATACACCACCAGGTCCTTCAAAAATGAAATTACAGCGCTAGAACTGAATTCATGCCGTTATTATAGCATGGATTGTGATATCATCCAAGCCCTATCACATTCAGTAGGGATCAGCATCATTATTGGTGTCTAGCTATATGTGTACTTTGATGTAGTGTTTTCTTCCAATTTTTTATGCTGGCTCAATAGTCAGTTATATTTAGATGTCTCGTGGCTGTGTGCTAGATTTCACAACTTACAAATAGGTTCACGTGTTGTAACTCCAGGTTGCTCAGCCTGCATTACACTTGTCTCCTTTCTTGCTAGACCCTGTTCAACTTTCAGAATGTCTTTGCAGTCTCACTTAGCTAGGTCACCGCTGTCAGTCTGTAGCATTTTCTGCATTGACAAGTGGATCTAATTTTGAATTGACAAATGAATTGATAGATGATTGTGGAGTGATTCTGATTCGCATCATTGCGAAGATGATATAAATTCTCACATCATTTCCAAAGGTGAGTAGTTCTGAAGACTGATGCCTCTGCAAGGTTTGTGCGTGCCCCATGGATGATTTCAAAATTATCTTCCCTCCTTGGGGGAATACTTAGTGTGTGCTCAGCCTGTGCTGGCAGCACAGCTAAGATCAAGATCAAAATGTGGGGAAATTGCTAGCACTAACCTGGGACTTCCCACTCAATAGCATTACAGCACACTGGTGCTCAATGTCGCTATGCTTTCAGCTCTTTGGAACTAAATTATTACTGCCTTCAGATATTTTGGTGTTTAATGTGCAGCATTCACTGCAGCTTGGAATGGGAGAGTAAAACAACAGCAAAATTGTGTAATCAAGACAAAATAAGATCTTTTAGCAGTAGGAAATCCACTTGGCTTGCTTCAAGACCATCTGTCTTGCACACATTGCCTGTCAAACTGGGGCTTAGATCAAAAGCCTTTGGAAGGTTTTTCTAGCTTACAGTAAAAATGCACAAAGGACACATTTATGTTGTAAAAGCTCCCTGCCAATATTTTTTTCAAACACAATTATGGTTCACGGCTAATTGCCAGTATCTGATTTTATAAAAAGAAAACAAATTTTGTTGACAGCATTACTTGAGCAAATATCTTTTAATCTAATTACAAATTTAAAACGGCACAGTGAAAAAAAACGCACTTGCCATGGATGCATGCCGTACATAAATGATTTTGCATCTTGAGAAGCAAATACTTTCCAGAAAATGTTCCTATAAGTTTTTGAGTACCTGCCGTGAAATAGTGTTGATCTTGGCAGTGTTCAGCAAGCAAATGAAGTGTAATCTCTCTGATCTCACTAGTCTCTTCGGTCAGCCATGACATTCCCAGTGTCTGTGCTTTTTGCTTCCCGGCTGTGCAGTACCACAGCACAGGCAGCCCTCTGTGGGGTGTTGAAGATCACCCAGTTTAACAGCAGATGGCGGCTCGTGAAAAATGAAGCCACCAAGCTAGAGTTCAAATTAGGTTCACAATGAGAATTCCCAACTCGTCTTTTGCTAATGAACATAGCTTTACATCTTTATTTTATTTTGCTGTGACTTCTAATTAAACCCAATATTCCAGTGTTTACATTTGTCTGATTGACACATTTATTGCAAGAAAGTTTAACGTTTTTTAGTGCAGGAATTTGCTGGCTTGAGTTTCAGTTTGTCACTAGAATTTGATGGCCGATTTACAATTGGATTTGGGTGTCTGTGTTAGCTCTTTTCACCAGGGAATGTAGTGTTTAACAGAGAATACCCACAATAACAAGGAGCTGCTCGGCAATACACTATAGTAATTTAATCTCAGGACCAATATCAGTATATCATTGTCTTTATGCTCTTAATTTTTAAACTGTGGTAACGTTCTTGAAAAAATAAGAAGTCAGTACATTGAATGTAAGATTTGGTGTAATTGCCTTTGTGATAACTTGGTAAGAGATTCCCAATACATTAATGAACTTATCTTTTATTATGAGATTGCTCCAAACACAGACAGAAAGTAATGTATGTTATGAAAGTAATGTAACTCTTTCCGCGGATGCTGATAGTTTTGTATTGCCTGTTAATCCTGATGAATAATTGCTGTAAAGTTACCTGCTGTCCTCTGTAATAATTATTTTTTAAAAAGGCTTTTAATGTCAATGTGTTTTCCAGTTTTAAAGGTGTATTTTCGTGTCATTGTGCTTTTCATGTTTACATGCCTGCTTTACGGGATGTGGAGCCTGGGGTGACAATCTAAATAGTAAATTTAGGAATGCTTAAGTTCCATTAAGGATTTAGAAAGATGTTTGGTGTGTAAATGGAGCTCTTGGTTCTTAGGTTTCAAGCTTCTGGGCTTACTCAACTGACAAATGATACCATAACACCAAAAAAAAATTACTAATTCTTTTCAAATGTTAAATTAGCTTTTGTTACTTTTCTGATACAGTAAACAGCAGAGTGGCTACACTGATGCTATCTTTTATCTCTGTTTCAGGGGCTAATTTCGTAACTCGGAAAATTAGTCGGTCGGTGGCTAAGATTCACCTCAGACAGCTGGATTGTTTTAGTTTGGGCAATCTGGATGCCAAGAGAGATTGGGGTCATGCCAAGGACTACATTGAGGTAGGCCATTGGCCAGAGGCTGTTCAGAAACAGCTCCCTGCCTGGATGATATGTTTCACGCATCATCTCAAAAAAATTGCTTGATCTCTATGGTGTATCTTGTGAACTTGTGCCAGAGGAGAGCTGCTAACACAGTGTACAGTCAATTACAGCCCAGGGAATTTAGTTCCATGGTGGGCTACCCTAGTCCTGACCCGACCAGAAAACAATCTTTCTCTTGATTCAGAACAGCTATAAGGTTTACATTTCACTGGTAAGATTCTGCCGAGGGTCAATCTAAACCCTTTTACAACATCTTGATTCTTTCTCTGAATTTTTTTTCTTTCCCCCCCCCCCCCCGCTTTGGACCGACGCATAAGTGTACCAACATGTTTGCGTTTAGGAATATTTCATTTCATTTCCCATTCTTTAGTATGAAGCAACTACTGAGACTGCATTTAACTGTGCGAGACAGCGGCAAGAATAGTGTCTGGACCAGACTAGCTTGTTTCCCTCAGTTAGGCCCTGACAGGTTTCCTGTGCTTACAATGCTATTTCTGTCTTTTTGAATCATACATCCCTGGGACACAGACACTGGTTTCCAGAACCATTTACGTAATTTAAACAGAAGCTAGAAACCTACAAAGCAAGAAAATCTGACAGTTTAATAAGGGTGCGGCAACAAGTTTATGGCAACTGCCTCTGTGTGGGTTTACATTCTATGTAAAAGAAAGCACCAAATCCAGATGTCTGCAGCTGGGAGTACAAACACCACAGAATTTTACACTGATGATATATTTGGTTCCAATTTAAATGTTAATGATAGACTTGCACTGTGCTTTCTGTAAATAATATGTAGTTAGACTGATTTTTTTTATCCTATTAGAAAGGTCAGCCTGCAATTACCAGATGGAGGGAAAAAATTGTAATTTTCTATTTTGTGCTGCCTTGTCAAAACTCCTCTCTGTTAAAACCTTTGCAAGCACAAGTAGCCTTTGGTATAAAAATGCTTCCATGGAAAAGCGCTCAAACTGCAGCCACCTCCTAAGATGAAAGAGATTGAGCAGAGCAAAGGTCTGATTCATCAGAATTTAAGATGAAGCAAACGTCTATATATATCTATCTAACTATCCGTTGCTGCTGCCGTTTTATAATCCTAATGAAAATCTAGCACTCATAAAGATAAATGAGTTTAATTTTAAGATAAATGCTGTGATTGCTAAACAAATAGCAGTACAGGAAGCCAAAAGAAATACAAGAATGGCTATTTGTTATATTAAATTTGGCCAAAAGTTGAATTCATTAAAGAAAACAAAATACCCAGATCTGTGATCTTATCTATAGTTTTTAGCAGGGTTTAGGCATCCAATGCAAGAGACAATTTGAAACAGTATGTCTAATGTTTTACTTTTCATATGTGTGAAGTCCGATGAAAAGGTAGGTGCATAAATAACACAATATTTGCGTTAGATTGTTTTTTGTGATGGGGAACAAATGGTGAATATTGTGGTCGTCCCTTCTGCTTAAAATTTCCATGCTATATATTGAGATGATCTGTATTTCATGGTTTTTATTCACTGATGCTGCAATGTATTTGTAAAGCAATCTGACCTTGCATTTCCTGCAGGAAGTAACCTTACATAGTGTGTGTTAGGATTTTAGATTGTGTGCTGGAAATTGCCTATATTTTCCCACTTCCATTGCTGCTTGTCTTTTTTATTTTTCCTATGATGACTGGTTTTCATTAGCAATTACACATTGACCAATGCATTCACTGAAATACTAAATAAGAATATTCTGAAAGCACATGATAATGTATCTGGAAGAAATATAACCCATCCAAAGTTCCTCGTCAGTTTAAGGCTCAGTGGGGTTTATTACGCACTATGTGCAAACCATGGTGTTTTACACCCAGTTTATACAGGTGTATTGTACCCCGTTTTTAAATACGTTTACAACGGAAATTAGAATTTGCCCTTAATATGTAATTTTAACAATATTGTATTTAATATGTGATCTATTTTGATAGTAGACCCAGAAAAGCTTATTAAGTTATTTAATTTGTCTTTTGTAACATGGTAGTTTAATGCACTTTGCCAAAGTAAATACATTTGTGAATGAGTTCAAGTAACTTGTACTTAAAAGTTAGGAAACCTAAAGCTATGAATACAAAATGCTGATGATTATTCATAGAAGTGAAGAGGACAGGATGCACAATGTAAGATGATTATTCTGAATTCTGACTTTAGGAATTGTTTTTGATTTCCCTCACTTCTCTATGACCCTTTATGTTGTGCATAAAGTAACAGTTGACAAATTGTGTTAAACGCTTGGATCTTTATTTGATTTTTAAATGATAAGTAGTTTGCCTCTTCTCTGATTCACTGACTCTTGATCGGTCATGTTGCCACCAACCAACAGAAAATGTGGTGACTAAAATATTCCTTCTTTAAAGATAAAATTGTTTTTAATACCACATCATTGGAAAATATGATAAAAATATACTGGTCATGCAGGACTGTGTGAAGTCGGGTCATTGGTTATATCTTTGAACTAGTGTTTTGGATTTGTTTTGTCCAAAAAACACAACCGAATTGATGTCCACCCAACTGCTATTTCTTGTGTGTGAGTCCAAACAGTGAGAGTTGGGAGATCATTCCAGAGCATTACAGTCAAGTCTGACCTCAACCAACATCCACATATCCACTTTTTAGCCAGGGTTACAAGCTATCGACCTAGAGCAGAAACCCTGACTTGTTTGCAAGAGCAGAAATACTGCCTTCATTAGCTGAGGGCCATGAGGCTTGAATCATTTTAAAAGATTGGAGACTGCACTGTGTCTTTCCAATTTGGATGACTAAGTTCCATAACTTAGATCTTCCAAAGTCACAAATTCATAAATTTTTCAACAATAATGTTAATCTTGTTAATTCTTGAGTTTGTTGAATTTGATTGACTTATCTACTTACACACTGTTTCACAATGGAGTTACTGTATGTTGTTGCCATTCATCTTTTTATCTCACTTACTATGGCTATCTCACTATGTTGGGATTGGTCTGTTTGTTCCAGGCAGAATAGCTGCAGTAAACTAGTAACAAAGAAACGTTTATACATGGTTATGGCAACTCACCTATCTCTAGCCATGGGTGTGGTAAACTCGGTACAGTTCTTACTTATGGGTGAAGTCTTGCTCAAGTTGCTACAATAGAAGGCACATCTCTGCTCGAACGCTGGCACCCAGCCTTCTCGCTGTGTCTTTGTCTGAATTGTTTTCAGAAATAACTCCAGTGAAGTCAAACAGTTCTTTGAAATATCTCACTTTGCTCTGCTGGCATAAGCTGTGGGGCTTTTGGAAGATGAGAGAAAAAAATTTGGTTGCTACAACGTGCTACAGTAATAGAATATCACATGCCACTTCAATGAGGATGTGTCTTTAGTTTTTCAATTCCATCTCGATTTCTTGGAGACTGCCATTACTGATCAGTGTCATTTTAAGATTTTTCCTCTCATCTGTGCTGTCTGTGTTCTATCCTGATATTTTCAACACTCCAGGTTCAACACCATGTTCACGTCTGACGAGCAGTTGTCTAGTTATTGTTGCACCAAGCGCTGGGCAAACGTTTTGAGTTTGCAATCTTAAAAATATAATTATTTACAAAGCCAACTTTTACCAATGGCCATGGGATCTGGAATTCAACACCTTCTTATTGCAAGTTTGTTTCTTGATCTCCCAACTCTCACTGTTTGGACTCATACACAAGAAATAGCACTGTATTTTCTAAAAAAAAATGAAAGCAATAATAATTAAAAAGGGAGCCAAAAGCACCTACTTTTTACATTGTTGTGCTTGCTGGGTAAGAAACAGCACCTGCATTGCAATGCGCAAAGGTGGTGAATTGGTAAATGCAGACATGGTGTCCAGAGGGACACATTTTCAGTATGTCCATTGGCAGTGCCATTTTTATTGAAAAGATGTGCACATCCATACTAGAACTGTGTAACTTGCGTACAATCCTAAAATAATTCAAAGTGCTTAATTCTGAAAATTTATGGTGCAAATGATTGAAAAATTCATTAGGTCTAAAAGAGGTCCATCACTGGTGTTAGCGTTCCGATTTGATGGAATTCCAATAAGATTTAACTTGTAGCATCTGGGGCTTGTTCTATTGGATTGCTTCAGGTCATAATAGGTGGCAACTATAATACTTTTGTTCCAATGTTTTTGCCTTGGGACTTCCTCCCGACTTGAAAGGCATGATCCAAATGTAATTTTGCATTGTATTAAAACATTGAAGTTGCAATAATGATTACCAAAGCGGATTATACCAGGAGGAGGTGTAATATTTCTTTTCATGTGTTTTGTCTTCATACAAATAAGCAAACTGCCATTGTTTGCCATTATGCAGTTGAATTGTGGTGTAACCTGTATAAATTATATAATGCAGAGAATAGAGAATGTGTAAACCTATTCTGTGGGAGTGGCTGAATAATGTTACTGCTTCCTGAGATGACTGTTCACATCAGAGAAAATTGACTACAATAATATCCAGGACTGAATTAGCACTTGCAGTTGACATAACATTTCAACTGAATTAATTTACAAAATGAGCCAGTATTCCTGGAATTAATTTCACTCTTGCCACTTTGTCTCTTAAAACAGCTTCTTCTCCAGCCCCCTCACTGCCCTGTGCAGTGTTCCTCAAGGCTCTATCCTCTTTAATACCTATATGTTCCCATTCGGCAATATTATCGCAGATATGGGGTTGACTTCCACCTGTATGCAGATGACACCCAACTCTATCTCTCTCCCTCACAGTTGTCCTTTAAACCTTATATTCATGCTCTGACCCACTCAGTTTTCCTCCATTTCCACAACGTTGCCTGCCTCTGCCACCATCTCTCCTCTCAGGCCCCGGAGGACCTTATCCATGCTTTTATTACGTCCAGGCTATATTGTGCAAACTCTCTGCTCGCTGGCCTACCTGCCTCTGCCCTTCATAAGGAAGACTTTGTGGAGTC